ATCAGCAGTCGTCTTCTGAGTGAAATCGACCTACGAAGCCTTTGATACGAAATGACATCTATTCACCATAGCAATCGAACATTGTATCTATATTACCACTGTTCATGTTTCAAAACTATCAGTGAATCTTAATTGATTAATTATATCTTTCGTAGCCTACTCATATGTAATGTAAGTAGCATCGTGGTTTTAACAGCAAAGAGATTCAGTCGTCGCCTTTTGCTGAGATCGACCTATGAATCTTTTTATCGCGAACTTTTACACTAAATGAAAGTATCTACAACAATTTTATCTCAAGAGCTTCATCAAAATCCGTTTTTTCTTCACATATGCAAAATAAAAACTCTCAGAGCATCAAGTTGGTGTGAAACAATTTAGAGAATGATATTTCATTACACCAAGCTGACTTTTGCATTTTATGGAGATGTATTAGATGTTTTGTTTGAGCCTATGATACACCTCCTGAAGTTTATTTATTGCAAAGATGTCCTCAGCTTAACCTAACAAATAAAAAGCGCAACGATTTAGGTTTTTTAGGATTAGATTAAGGTTGATAACTTTTCGGTTTTCTAAAACAGCACTGATAGTTAACAAAATGATGCATTTTTCGACTCCTTGCCCTCCGTACCCACTCGCATGTACATCATAAAGACTCTCCTCGGCGACCTGAGTATGACGGTGCAAACCCCGAAGCGCCAAGCACTGGCGTCCAAACTTCACGCCAAATCGGTACCTGGAGCCCCATTGTTTGGTGGCTATAATCCGGACTTGGTAGCGCAGGCCTTGATAGACAGCTGCCATTTGGTTCATACTAGCCTGCATCTGCCGATTTTTCTTGAGCCATTCTCCATTCAGCCGACGACCGGTGGCCAGCGAGCACAGTCAGCAGCCACGGTGAGTTTTAGAAATAGGATAATTACAGTTAATAACCGTTTGATTTTAAGCTTGGCGACAGATATTCGCTGGCCTTTGTTCGGATCTAAGTCTCCTTTCACCACTTTTTTGATTTGTCAGGAGGACATAGATAAAACTACTTTGTACACTGCTATAGTGGTAATGGTGATTTTCAGCACCGGACCATGAATTTAGGGCATTTTCAGACAC